AAAATCTCTTTTAAAAATATTTATTAAATGTAAAAAAAAGTACAACAAAAAATAAAAAACAAATCATAAAAAAATTAAAAAAAGCAAAAAAAAAAGAGTGTGACAAGTGACAGCCCTTGGAACTTCATACATGAGTAAAATTTGTCTTTTAAATTAAAAAAAAAAAAGAAAAAGAAAAAAAGAAAGGATTTAACAAACAATATTAAAATTAGAAAAAAAAGTAAAAGTAAATATAAAAGAAAAAAACATGTGGCTTGCAATTGGTATCAAGTAAGTACCATACAAAAAATTTAAAAGCTAACAAATTTATTAACTGAAAAAAAAAAGTGAAAAGAAAAAAGTAAAAGAAGGGTGATAAAGAAAGAGTAAAAAAGGAAAATTTGGTATAATTGTATCTAACACAAAAAAAAAATTTTAAAATATATATTTTTGGTAAGCTTTAAGGAAATTAATGAAATATTAAAAAAAATAAAAAAAATGAACAAGGAGAAACCATTAATAAAATTAAATCGAATCTACACAAATTTATTTTAAAAAAAATAAGAATTTATTAAATATGTATAGAAAAAAAGGAAGCATGAGATTTTGGCATATGACAATTTGAGTGCAAATAAAAAGGGGTCAAAATAAGCTAAATTAATATATTGGATATGAATTTTTTGGAATTTGGATTTTTATTATAAATATAACAATGTTAATTGGATTTAGCCTAATGGATATCTTATATATGCTAATGGTTATGTATTTTGTTTATATTGGTTCATAATTATATAGAGTTGCAAGTAAGTTGAGCCAATCATGTTAATGGATAAGGTACATAACTGGTAAAACATTATTCATTTTTATTCAGTTTTTTACATTATATTTATCATTGTACTCATATTCAACTAATATTTCAAATTCATCATTATCTTTATTTTTGTAAAGATTTAATAGGTATAAAAAAATCCTTGTATTCATAGTTCTTTAAAGAAAATAAAAAAAATTATTTTTTTTATTTTTATTTTGCACATTTATGTATGTTTTATGAATATTAGATCTAATTAATCTAAAATAAAATTTATATTATTAAATAAAAATCTATTTACTAAATATATATAATTATATATAAGAAATGATACGGTTATAAGATATGTGTTATATTATTCATCTTCGTTCTTGTACCTAATAAAAAATTTAAAATTATCCACATCCTTATTTCTATCCCAAAATTTAATATCCATTGTAGACACCCCATTTTGTCTGGGGTCCTTTATCATTTAAAACCAGTCCAAGCTCGATTGTAAAAATTTTTATTCATTTTTATTTCAGATTTTTATTTCATATTTATCATTTTTTAATTTTTATCTTATGGTCTACTTATTGTTTATTTTCTTTTTCTATCTTCATTATCTGATTATTTAAAAAAAAAAAAGAAAGATTGAGATTAGGCTTGATGATGATCAAAAAGCATAATTAGATGCTAATATTTAGCATTGGATGACTAATTGGAATTGAACTGAAACTCTATCAGCATGGTTTTATAAATCATTGTGATTCACAATTTGCAAGGGGGGAGGAAAGATAGAAGAAGAATCCGAATAGGAGAGGAAAAAGGTAGAGTCAAAAAGTGTTCAGTCTTCTGTTAGCAACTTTACTGCTTATAGTAGTATTGAGAAGGTGGGGGCTGCCTTATGAAAGCCGGTAACCTACTCGTTAGGATGCTGCTTGAAGCATTACAGTCTGGGTGATTGCTATCTTTCTTCATTCGAACAAAGAATCCAACTTTCAAGGGTCAGATAAAGAGGTTGATTATCTAGTCTGGATGGACCTTGGTTCTATTTGAATCTGGCAATTGGTTGATCTCAGTCAAAGACTTGGTTGTATTGAGGATCTTTAACCAAGAAAAAGATTCAACCTTTCCCTTCGTGCACCAAAAAGAAAAGAATAAAAATGAGGCACTTCTTTCATCAAGCAATATAGACCAACCAACACAATACAGTAATCACAGCCTGTATTTAGTAGTGGTATATTTGGTTCCTCCATACCTTTTGGTTCAAGTCGATTTGCATTTGGTTCTAGTACTCTTGCTTTTGGTGCCACGAGTACCCCTGCCTTTAGTTCCATAAACATCCCTGCCTTTGGTACCCTTACCTTTAGTTCATCTGGAAGTCCAGCATTTGTGAGCACTGAAACTGCATTCGGTGTGTCTAATGCCCAGGTGTTTGGAATAGGGGACACATTTGGAGCATTAAGCACACCTACTTTTGGCAATTCTAGCACTCTTGTTTTCGGTTCTTCTAGTTCTATATTTGAGGGTTCCATCCCTCCTACTTTTAGAGCTTCAAACATTCTTCCTTTTGGAGCATCTTCTACTCCTTCATTCAGCTTTGGGTCTAGCCTAGCTTTCGGCCAATCAACGCCAACATTCTATAGTTCACTTTTTGGAACCACCACATTTGGAGCCCCGAGTTTTCCTTTTGGGAACCCAATCTTTTGTACCAGCATCTGGAAACACTAGCTTTGACCAATCACCATTTGAGGGTCAATGTGAGAGAAGTAGAGTGGCTCCTTACACACCTACAACCGAAGTAGATAGTGAGAGTAGTGCACAGCTAGCTGTAAAGCTGGAGTCAATATCAGCGATGCCTGTTTATAAAGATAAAAGTCATGAGGAGCTGCGATGGGAGGATTATCAATTAGAGGATAAAAGTGGACCACAGGTAGCTGCTCAACCTTCTGGAGAGACTGGCTTTGCTGTGTCAACCGCACCTACTAGTCTTTTTGACTCTTCTTCAATGTTCGGTCAAACATCTGTAAATCCATTTTCCAGCAGCACAAGTATCACTCCATTTAGCCTAAAACCACCATCTTTTAATAGTACAGGTTGTACAACCTCGACTACTACATCAAATCCTTTTCAATCAACATTATTAAGCCTTTTTGGCTCAACTTCGTCAACAACTTCGATATTTAGTTCATCTGTAACTCCTACATTTGGAACTAGTCCATTTCTTTTTAGTTCATCTGTCACTATTTCATTTTCAACTTCGCCATCCATTTTTGGTACTGGTGGAGCTCCGATAACAACTTCAGCATTTGCTACTAGTTTAAATTTCATTTTCATTTTTATTTTTATTTTCATTTTTGTTTTATTTTATTATTTTATTTTCTTTAAATAAAATTCAAAAAAAATATTTTTGAGGAAAAGTTGAAAGTATCAATTTTCTTTAAAAATAAATTTTCAAAAAAGGGTTTTGAGGAAAAGTTAAAAGTATCAATTTTTCTCGAAATTAAAAGTTTCCAAAAAATATTTTTGGGAAAAAGTTAAAAGTATCGATTTTCCTTAAAAATAAATTTTCAAAAAAAGGTTTTGAGGAAAAGTTGAAAGTATCAATTTTCCTCGAAATTAAAGTTTCCAAAAAATATTTTTGGGGAAAAATTAAAATTATCAATTTTCCTCGAAATTAAAGTTTTTCAAAAAATATTTTTGGAGAAAAGTTGAAAGTATCAATTTTCTTTAAAAATAAATTTTCAAAAAAAGGTTTTTAAGGAAAAGTTGAAAGTATCGATTTTCGTCGAAATTAAAGTTTCCAAAAATATTTTGGGGAGAAGTTGAAAGTATCAATTTTCCTCGAAATTAAAGTTTCTAAAAATATTTTGGGGAAAAGTTGAAAGTATCAATTTTCCTTGAAATTAAAATTTCTAAAAAATATTTTTGAGGAAAAGTTGAAAGTATCAATTTTTCCTGCATAAAAGCAGTCATTTTTTTCTTTTTTCTTTTTATTTTCTTTTTAAATAATCTGACGATGGAGCCTCTGCAAGTGAAACAGTAGTTTTCTTACATACTCTTGAGGTGAGGGATTTTTTAAATTTTTTGCTAAAAGTATTAGAGTCAATTGAGAATAATTTTCAACAACTAATTACTTGATAAATTTTTAAGGCTTATTGGATAACAAAAAATTAAGCTGGTACCATCTTTCGATGGGCATTGTGAGGGTGCTATAACCTTTCTCACACGTAATCGAACTCTCGAACCCTATTTTGGTTAGTAGACCCGAACCTATTCTTATAGGGACCTTTAAACTTAGGTGTTCCCTGAAAGGATAGATTTCTTAGGTGGCCAATCGCATCTAGATAAAAAAGATTGGTGGTGACTCCTTAAGTCAATGTCTAGTGATAGATCCCTGGATCTAGACATTATGACAGCTTGGTGACTCCACTGGGGAAGTCCGAGAGTCAGGCCAGCAAATAAATTTTTGTTATCCAAAAGCCTAATAAAATTGAACCTTTTGTATAGATTTTTTTTATTCATTCATGTTTATTTACTTTATTAATTATGTCATTCATATGCATATGCATAACATGAACTCTATACCCGAGCTCCGTCCTTCTAGGAGAGAGTAAAGTACCTATTACTTTCGTGAGGTTTAATGCCTCCGCAGTGGCTAGCGAAATACTCTCATTCAAATTGAACTTTTTTCACTTGTAGCCTGTAATAGGTGAGGATTAGGGTGCCTTACTAGTCTGTGATGGACAATGATGTAAAGAGCAATTTAGAAACCTTTAGACTTTAACCTTGAACCATATATAGTGAACCTTAGAAGTGCCTAAACCTAAGATAGAGCCCTTTCTACCCAATGATAGGTATACCCTGAAACTAGGACACAAGAAGAATGCTTATCTAATCATTTTGATTGTCTGACTTTGTGCATCATTTTCATTATCATATGTAACATTATACATCGGCATCACTTTCATTTCATCTATGAAACTAACTATGTTGTTTGTCTGATTTTATGCATTTGCATTATTTTCATGATCATGTTTTAACACAATCATTTGCATCCATTTCATATTAGATTTCATCCATAAAAATGTACATTTCATTCGTGCATCAACATATCATACATAAAGCATAGCATAGCATTTTTAATCATAATTGTGGTGCTAAAAGTTCAAGGATAGCTCTACCAAGCAACCCCATTCACCAATATAATACAAGAGCTCGAGCCAGACAAATGGAACAAGAAAATTCCAATCGTCTCGAGAGATTAGAGAAAGCTCAAGAGAAGTTAGAAAAAGGGTTGAATAAGATTTTAGAGGCTTTGAACAAGCTAAACAGGGAAAAGGAAATAGAGGAGAATGCTAGCCAACCAGAGGAGGATAACCCACTGTACCCTCCTGGTTTCAAGCCACATCAAGTCTAACTTACACAAGGTCTACCATCACAGTGGTTCACTTATCTTATAGGGTACACATATCCCAGAATACCATTAGATTCAAATCAAAGACAGTACCAAAGTTATATATATTTTGTCTTTACTGAAAAGATAGTAGAACCAATATCAATCCCTAATTTGAATGATCTAAAAGAATAAAAAAATTGAAGCCCAAAGAGAAGGAGCTTGTAGAAGCTTTAAAAGCTAAACAAAAGATAAGCTTATTAGAGAAAAGATTACGAGTAGTGGAAGGAGTGGGTTTTTATGGTTCTGTCGATGCTGATGGACCCTATTTAATCTCAAATATGGTTATCTCTTTGAAGTTTAAAGTGCCAGAGTTTGAGAAATACGATGGTACAAGGTATCCGAAAACTCACATTACTATGTACTATTAAAAAATGGCTGCCCATGCTAATAATGAAAAGCTCTTGTTGCATGCATTCCAAGACAACCTTATTGGCTCTGCTGCTAGGTGGTATGTCCAGTTGGACAAGAATCGTATTTGTTCTTGGAGTGATATGGCTCATACTTTCATTAGTCAATACCAGCATATAATAGACTTGGCCTTTGATCATCTTTTTTTATAGAATATGAAGAAGAAAGTGACTGAATCATTCAAACAATATGCCCAACGGTGGAGAGATATTACTTTTCAAGTGTAACCTCTTTTGACTGAAAAGGAGACCACCGTATTATTTGTTAGTACTTTGAAATCCCCCTATTATGTAAAGATGATAGGGAATGCAATAAAGAATTTTACTGACATGGTGATCTCAGGTGAAATCATTGAGAATGCCATTAAAAATGGCAAGCTGAAAGGAGGAGAAACCAAGAATGCACCCGAAAAAAAAGAGACTAAAGCTCAAGCTGTAGGCTTTAACAAAAAGTTCAGGGGATATCAACCCTATCCACCCCTAGGTTACTTTTCATATTATCTTACTGTGAACAATGCTTCATCCTACCCATACCAGCTAGCTCCACAACCACCTAATTCATCTATATACCAGCCCATTTTTATCCTTCAAGCTCTCATATACAGCCTTAACAGTCAAACTCCTGCAAGACCCTAAATTTATCCTATTAGCTTGAAAAATGGTTCACGAGAGCAATGGACTATTCGAGAAAAGCTCATATTTGATCCAATCCTCATGACTTATATAAAGTTATATCGAGAGCTCTATAATAGCCATCTAATTACCCTCAAGCTGTGTGGACCCGCTTAAACCACCTTATCATAAGTAGTATGATCCTACAGCTCACTGTGACTGCCACTATAGAATTGCTGGCCATTACACTAAAAATTACACTGCTCTAAAGCATGAGGTGCAACGGTTAATCAAAGATGGAATGGTAAGTTTTGATCAATGAAGAGCAATAGGGAAACACGAGTACAAAGATTAGGGAAAGATCATAGAAAAAAAGAAAAAAACTTTTTAGACATTGGTTTTAAGATGAAAGTGAAAGTAAAAAAAAAAAGTAAACTGATTTAATATGTGGTCCAAATTTTGAGTCGAATGTTACTCATCGACAGCGAGTGGAGAGAGCATGTTTTCAAGAAGTGAATTCAATTATCTATCTTGTAATTAAACAAAACATCAATTATATTCCAACAGTTATAGCTGAAGATGTAGAGCTTGCGGTGGTTGCTACTCAGAGAGCTCTTTCTAGAAATAAAGGCAAAGATTGAGCTTCAGCTTCTGACGCTGTTTGTGCTAAGTATTTATGGGCCATCATTTCCAAAATAACAGAGAGAAAATCTAAATTAGCAAAGCTTAAGCAATTAATTACGAGAAACCACTTAATGAAGCAACTTGGGACATTGATGATGTTGCTGGATGTTTTGAGTACTATACGTATCTTGCTGAAGGTTTAGATACGAAGCAAAAGGTTGCTATCTCTCTTTTTATTGAGACATTTAAGAGTTATGTGCTTAAAGAACCACTTGGGGTCGTTGGATTGATTACTCTATGGAATTATCCACTGTTGATGTCCACCTGAAAAGTAGCTCTTACTTTGACTGCAGGTTGTGTTGTAATACTGAAACCTTTTCGAGTTGGTATCTATCACCTATTTTGAGCTACTGACATGTGTAGGAAGGTTGGTTTTCTTTCAGGTGTCTTGAACATTCTGACTGAATTGGGTCTGAAAGTTGTGATTCCTTTGGCATCTCATCCCAATGTTGACAAGACTGCCTTTACCAGAAGCACTACAACAAGGAACATGATAATGGAAGCAGCCGTTCAAATGGTCAAGCCTGTATCTTTAGAACTCGATAAGAAAAGCCCAATCATTTTGTTTGAGGATCAAGAATATGAAAAGTCACAATGAATCAATGGGGCGAGATAAAAATCCTTCACCTGATTGCACAAGAGCATGATTTTAAAGAGGATGTTAAAACTAGTTGAATGTTACTTGTCATTCTAAGAGTTCTTTTAAAGTAATGTTAGGATTTCTTTTTTGCAATATGATTTCACTTGTTATCATCTTAATAAAGGCAAGTTAATGCATTTTATTACATTTTCTCTTTCACTCGACCATTATTCCATGCCCTGTTACCTTTTATAACTTTACATTCCCATTCTTAAATTTCAGATGATGAATATTTAGACAATGATAATAATTCTGAGATTTAATTTTGAGAACTCATTCATATTAATATGAGGAGATCATTTGAGCAAAAAAGTAAACTGTTACCAGAGGTGAAATAGATATGTCTTGAGGATGTGTAATCTTTTATACAGGTTCATGAGCTTTGTTCAATAGATGATGTTCAAGAAAAATATTCACAATTGAGATGAAAAATGGCCACCTTTCTTTTACCATTCAAAAAATCATTTATTGTTACCCCTTTGAGCCTATTATGATTTTTTTCTGAAGAACCCCAGCCAAGGATCACCCTTTATACTGAGGGGTAATTTTTGAAAAAATATCACAAAAGGTCTCAAAGATAGAAAGAGAAAGAAAAGCAAAAGAAAAATAAATACCACACATGATTTGGGGCAAAGTAATGAGAATCTTTTGTGTGAGGAAAGAAAAAATAGTGAAATGATGTGGGGGCAAAATGCCAAGTTGCATCAAATGATCCTTTAGTTTTGAACCCTTTTAATACATGTTTTGAGCCTATTATATCCATTTCTATTATGACCCCTCACCTTGACCAACATTACAACCTTGAAAAATCCATTTGGATCAAGTATGAATGCTCAACTTGAATGATCATATGTTAGGCGAAGGCATGCTCATTATGTTACATTGCTCTAAAGTTTTATGTGTGGAAAGATATCAACAATGGATGAAAAATGAGAAAAAGATGATAAAAAAATGAAAAAAAAGAAAAAATGAGAAAATAAAAAAAAAAGATTCAATTTGAAAACCTGAAAAGGTAATTTGGGTGGAAAAAGACCTAGGTCAAATGGTTCACATGGATGAAAAATCAAAGACATCTGAAGATCTCTCAAAGACTAGGGCAAAGTTTGCAAAGCTCAAAATGACTTCAACAGTAAATGAAATAAGTTTTTGAAAAGAATCATAGATTAATGTTGAGAATTGTCTGAATATTCATCGTTTGGACATACCATTCATCCTAATGACATGTATCCAATTTATTTTTTTTCTCATTTTTTTTGTACCAAAATATATCTTCATTGATTATCTTTACCATAATTCACCTTATGTTCTCTTATTGTTACATCCCTCGAATAAATCAAGAAAATGTATGAGTGCATTATATTTGTCAAGAATTGAAATGATGATGAATGAATGACAATGTGCATAAAAAAGGTCTTGCATTCCTTTAAAGAAAAATCTAAGATGATGGTGGTAACAAAATTGAAGAAATGATAGAACCCTAAAAAGATGATTTGAAAGGACATATGATGTGACCAAATAGAGAATATGATGATGGATTGGACAATAAAATGAAGATGAGGCAAATCTTGGAAAGTGGTATACTCAAGTGATGAATACGGGGATGTATTAGTCAATATAACCTATGAGTTATGATTAAGTGATGAAAATGATATGGGACAATAGATGAAACTGGTGCTGAGAAGCTTATGAATGATGACCAAGTGATAGATGATGAAATTTGTTTTGAAATGGCTAGTATTGATAAGCTTATGAATGATGACCAAGTGACAGAAGATGAAATTTATTTTGAAATGGTTAGTGCTGATAAGCCTGGCATGTGGGGTAATAGGTAAAATTTGTTGGTGCTAAGAAACCTTCGAATGGTGATCAAGTAATGGAAATAATGATGATCAATTGATGAAGCTTGTTCTAAAATGTTGAGAAGCTAAATAAGGAAAGAATGTGAGATGGTAGGGTCTTGAGGACCATATACCATAATTATTTAGAATTTTGTGACATAGACGTCTGTATTGCATGCATCATGGGGGCATCATTGCTTGAATAATACATGCACATGATTTGATGAAATAAACTTTGTTTGGGCATGCATGGCACTATGAGAATATAGGTTACCGCATTTGCATCATTAAGAAGGCATTTGCATCTTTGGTCAAAACATTCATTCATGCAAATTTTTGAGTCACTTGAAAAAAAATTGTAAATATTTTGATGAGAATTTTTAAGAACTCAAATAAGAATCTTTGAGTTTCAAAATGAGAATCTTTAAGGAGTGAAACCCTAAAGTTCATCGAATGTGAATCTTCAAACAAATGAAAAGTTTTAAACTTTTGGATGTAAATCTCCAAAATACAAAGCTTCAATTTTTTTGGATATGAATTTCTAATGTTTTAAATGAGAACCTTTGAACTTAGATACGAAACTTTAAGTTTTATTGCATGTGAGTCTTTGAACTCAAATGAGAAGCTTTGAATTTTTAGATGTGAATCTCCAAAATTCAAATGAAAAGCTTTAGATTTTTTGATATGAATTCCAAGTTTGCCAAATGAGAACCTTTGAAAAGCCTTGAACTTTTGGATGTGAATCTCCAAAATTCAAATGAGGATCTTTAATGCGAGTCTTGCAAGTTGCAAATGCAAATCTTGAGATCTTGCAAATTTGAATGAAACTGAAATTTTGAGAATCAAATTTCAGTAAATTCTTACGAAGTTGGAAGGTTCTTGCGAATCTAAACCTCTGAATGTTGAACTCAAATTGTGAATCTTTGAGTTCCCATTACAAAATTCCTTCAATCATGATCCATAATTCATTTGGACATGATTGTCAATGAGTAATTTATTTTGCAAAGCTTTATTACCTCTGTTTAGAGGAGCAGTTTATTTCTCAAAGTCGTTGAGCCTCTGATTAGAGGAGTCATTTATTTTTCAAAGTCATTGAGCTTCTGATTAGAGGAGCCATTTATTTCTCAAAGTCGTTGAGCCTCTGCTTAGAGGACCTTTGATCAAAATTTAAAAATAAATAAAAAGAAACAAAAATAAATAAAAAAATTACCTCTATTTAGAGGAACTTTGTTTATGTTTCTCAAAGTCGTTGGGCCTCTGCTTAGAGGAGCTTTGGTGAAATTTAAAAAAAAAAACAAAAAAATTACCTCTGTTTAGAGGAACTTTGTTTACGTTTCTCAAAGTCGTTGAGCCTCTGCTTAGAGGAGCTTTAATCAAAATTTAAAAAAAAATAAAAAAATAAAAAAATTACTTCTGTTTAAAGGAGCTTTGTTTATTATGTTTCTCAAAGTCGTTAAGCCTCTGCTTAGAAGAGCTTTGATCAAAATTAAAAAAAAAAAAGGCAAAAAAAATCCAGTTGAGTCTTGAATGAGTGTGTACGTCTTTGCACAATTTCTATTTCACAGAAAATGTGCAAAGAGGGGCAGCTGTAGACACCTCATTTTGTCCGGGGTCTTTTATCATTTAAAACCATCCAAGCTCGATTGTAAAAATTTTTATTCATTTTTATTTCATATTTATCATTTTTTAATTTTTATCTTATGGTCTACTTATTATTTATTTTCTTTTTCTATCTTCATTATCTGATTATTTAAAAAAAAAAGATTGAGATTAGGCTTGATGATGATCAGAAAGCATAATTAGATGCTAATATTTAGCATTGCATGACTAATTGGAATTGAACTGAAACTCTGTCAGCATGGTTTTATAAATAACTATGATTTACAGTTTGCAAATGGGGAAAAAAGATAAAAAAAGAATCTGAATAGGAGAGGAAAAAGGTAGACTTAAAAGGTGTTTAGTTTTCTATTAGCAACTTT